CCCCAGACGCTTGCTACGACCAACCTGGTTAATCCCAGAGATCCCCGTACATTAACTCCGAACAGTTCCTCCATCACTGAGCCCCAAACAAACCCCGAGCCCCATACAGCATTCACTGACAAACACCACCCTCCAGTTTACTAACACTGATCCCAACGGAGAGTAAACAATAAAGATCCCAAAACGTGCCTCGGGACTAAGTCGTTGATCTCCAGGGATCTTTAACCACCAACCACAAGAGAACGTTCTGACTCAGGCACTCCAACCGCACACTCCCTATTACCCCCCCTTCCCCCCGTGAGGGCTCCCCTGGAAAAGAACGCCCAGCCTCGCGATTCTCCTGCTGGAATTCCACACGCATCACCGAACGCGGACGCCGACAGGCCCTCCCCACTGTCCACGAAGACGTCCGGCACTGACCTGACTACTTCCAGGGACCTTCTCTACCGGCCGGCGCCTGAACTTACTTCGCTGAACTTGGTCCGCTTCCCCCATCACCGCCCTACGGTGGCCAACGAGGGTCCGAAGCGTTTCTGCGGCGAAAAGACCACTGGGTTTCCGGCTTGTCTTCAAAGGTAACATGGCCGCGCCCTCTCGCGTGGCCCAGTGGGCGCCGCCATCTTTGAGCACCGGGCGTCCGGGGAGCCAAGCAGCCGTTTTATGCGGGTGCGCAGGGGTGACTGGGCGGATAGGTCACCGGAAACTCTTTCTCTGCACCTCAACCCTCAATAAAAACGGACTCATGTGCATAAACTCGAGCTTACACAGAACAAAAGTGGCATGGAGTAAATCCTTTTCAGCGAGCTGTAAGAACATTAAAATGGCAGCGACATTTACCCACTTTTGTACAAAAGTGAGGGAACGGCCTGGTGGGCGCAGCCATCTTACAGGAAATGGAGGAATCCGTACAGCACAGGGCTCGCCCCTTGAACCAGGCGAACCGTCGCAGGAGGATACCTGGGCCGAGCTTCTAGCCGAAATTGGCTTGATGGGACTTTTGAACAAAGCCTCGGGGAAACTCTGACGTTGAAGGGATAGAAGCCACAGACTATGAAATAAAAGCAGCTGGAACACGCCAAAGTTGTTTTCATGTGTGGGGGAAAGGCCACTAAAGCCCAGTAACTCAGAAAAGGCCAGTGCCCAATGCAAAGAGTAGAACCTATGACAGAGTTGGAGTTTTCCCTTTGGGGTCCAAAGAAGAAGGCAGGGCTCTGAAGACCAAGGGCCAAAAATTAGGGAAATACGACAACTTCAAGGAGAAGAAAAGTTGTGTAAATAAAGAAAGTAACCATGTTCTATGCATGTCAACTGCGAATAGCATTACAAGTCATAGTAATGTAAAACCGTAAATGTGGATCCAACTAAACCTGCTGGAAGAATGATAGAGGAAAAGAAAATGTGTGTGTGGGTGTGACTTAGCTGTAAGTGTATATATAGAAAGAAATTGTCAAACTACTTTCCAGAGTTAGTGTACCATTTTACATTCCCACCGTGAATATATGAGATCCACTTCCTCACTAGCATTTATTGTAGGGACCTTAGAATAAGAAAAAAAAGAAAAAGAAAACAATGACCTAAAATTTTTAATAGCTAAATATACTGGCCACTTATTTTTAAAAATCAAAAATATTCACTTTTTAAAATGTCAGTCTTACTAATATTCGAGTAAATGCAAAGTAAACATGAAACTAAAATGTTTTAACCCTTAAGTTTCATGAGGGTTGAATACTGAAATGAGGTTCTACTGTATAGCACAGAGAACAATATATATTCAATAGCTTGTAATAACCTATAATGAAAAAGAACATGTATGTATAACTGAATTACTGTGCTGTACACCAGAAACTAACACATTGTAAATCAACTATACTTTAGAAAAAAAAAGATTTAATAATGAATAATATTCAGAGTCTGAGAATGGCTAAGATAAAATATACTGAAAATACCAAGTGCTAGAGAGGATGTGGAACAGGTAGATTTCATACATTGCTGGTGGGAATGTAAGATGGTGTAACCACTCTGGAAGAGAGTTTGGCAGTTTCTTATAAAGCTAAACACGACTTACCATATGTCTCAATAATCTCACACTTGAATATTTATTATAGAGGAATTAAAACATGTTCAAAAATTGTGCTCTACACTGGAATTTGACACAACGTTGTAAAATGATTATAAATCAATAAAAAATGATTTTAAAAAGTGATCAAAATTAAAAAAACACTTATGCTCACACAAAACCTTGGATGAGGATTTATAGCATCTTTATTTATAACAGCTCAAACCAGGAAACAACACAAATTTCTTCAAAGAGTGAACGGATAAAGTTACATCCAGTATGTATACTGCTCACTAATACTGATAAAGCAATTCAACTCAAATAAGTCTTAAGAGCAATCTGTTGAGTGACAAAAACATAAAAGGCTTACATGTTCCTTATTAATAAAAATTATAAATTTGAATAAATACAACTTACTTATATAAAATGTATAAAACCCAGTTATAAAAATTATTTTGATAACATTCATAAAATGACAAGATTATATTCATGGAAAACATACGTGGTTGCCAGAGGTAGGTTTGGATAGAGGGTGTGAGCACAAAAAGGTAGGATGAGGATGTCTGTGGGCTTTCTGTTTTGTTTTGGTGGGGAGATAATTAGGTTTATTTATTTATTTTTAATGTAGGCCCTGGGGATTGAACCCCGGACCCCTTGCATGCTAGGCATGCCCTCTACCCCTGAGCTACACCCTCCCGAGGGTGTCTGTGTTGATTATTAACAGTTTTATGTCCTGGGGGTGGTGGTTACATGAAATCTATACATGTAATAAAGGATCTTAGAATTGTAAACTTAGAAAAAAATTCATGTAAAATCTATTGAAATCCAAATTCCAGAGGTTAGGGACTTAGTATACTACCAATGTCACTTCCCTGGATTCAGTAATATTATATGCTTACATAAAATGTTTTTACTGGGGAAAGTTGGGTAAAGGATACTAGGGGAAGTCTCTGAACTACTGCATTTTCTTGTAAGATAAACTGATTTCAAATTATACATTTTATAAAAATAACTTTGAAAGTGGTTTTGTAAAATATTTTGTCACATTTATAAACTAAGCACGTGCAAATATGTGTTCATTTTGAGTTTCCTTTTAAAGTAGTTCAGTAGGCTAAATTTACAACTGTGTTTAGAGCTAAAGTAAAAGTAAAAGCTAATCACATATGGGGGTAGGCACAAAACACTCTTGCGTTGTATACAGCAATAAAAACTAATCAGTGCTGAGAAAAGCAAACTGCTTTTTTTTTTTGCAGGGGTAGATAATTAAGTTTATTATTTTAATTATTTTTTAATGGAACCTTATGCATGCTAAGCACGTGCTCTACCACTGAGCTATACCCTCCCTCCTCTTAATCTTCTTTTAAAGCTTTTTTTGGGGGTAACTAGATTTATTTATTTACTTGATTAAGTTTTAATTTCTATGATTTCCTGACAAATAACAAAGAAAGTACCACTGAATCCTGCCATATGTATTATCCTCTTACAAGTTTTTCTCCAGTGTGAATCGTGACATTCACTGAGGTCTTCTTCGTGGGTAAAAACTTTCCCACGGTCATTTTTTTTTAACTCACATTTCTATGAACAATGAGCTCACCGATGATACTGATGATCCCTGATAATAAAGTCTATCTTCCCACTGAAGAATTTCCTAGTCTTTGCATTCACAGAATCAGTCTCTGTGTCTACTTTTCAGAATGAATCTAGAAAGGTCTGCCCAAGGCATCTCCGCATTGAAGGTATCGGTTTTCCAACCTGTTTTAACCACTGGCAGAAAACATGAGGTCAGCTCGCTAAAGGCACTCCCACATCCACTGTGTTCACCAGGCTTGTCTTCTGGGCGAATTCTTCCACCTCCTCAGGGCACACGTCGGGTAACACGCAGTACCACGATCACGCTCTGGTCTGCTAGAAACAGCGGTGTTTCCATGAAGTCTAAGCTGCCACAGGAGGCACTTCCCCATTAACAGGGCTCTTGTTCTGCATGAGTTCACTCACGTAACGAGCTGTGACTCTCCGTTAAAGGAACTTCCACCTTGACTCAATCTACCCGTTTCCCTTACGTGCATTTTCTTATGTTTCACAAGGTTTGACAAGTGGGAGAAGGCTTTCTCACAGTTGCTGCATCCGTAGGGCCTCTCTCCTGTGTGAGTTCTTTGATGGACATTGAGTACTGACTTCGTGGTGAAGGCTTTCCCACAGTCACTGCACTCATAGGGTTTCTCTCCGGTGTGAATTCTCTGATGGGTAATGAGACCATACTTGTGGGAGTAGGACTTTCCACACTCAGTGCACACAAAGGGCGTCTTCCCGGTATGACACCTCTCATGTTGTACGAGGCATATCTTCTGGCTGAAGGCTTTTCCACATTCGCTGCATTCATAGGGCTTCTCTCCCGTATGAGTTCGCTGGTGTATGACGAGAGTGCGCTTTGTGGTGAAGCCCTTTCCACATTCGTTACATAAGTAAGATTTCTCTCCTGTGTGAGTTCGCTGATGGATAATGAGGGTGCGTTTCACAGTGAAGCCTTTCCCACATTCACTGCATATATATGATTTCTCCCCCGTGTGAGATCGCTGATGCACGATGAGATTGCTCTTCACGGTGAAGCCTTTCCCACATTCACTGCATAAATAGGGCTTCTCTCCAGTATGGGTTCGCTGATGCACAACAAGATAGCGCTTCATTGTGAAGCCTTTCCCACACTCACCGCACACATAGGGTTTCTCTCCAGTGTGAGTTCGCTGGTGCACGA